CAAAGTATGGCCATAGGAACTGTTTTTCTAGATTACACTACTTCAGTGAAAGTAAAAGCCTTTAAAAACATGTTTATGTATTCTTAATTTCTTTCAAAAGAGAATTCTTTCAAAGACAAGAAATGCAAAAGAAGCTGGAAGCACTTGACACTGTTGTGTTACCACAGGTGTCAAAGGCTGACCACCCAAGTCCCTTGAACTGTTGGGACATTCAAACTGACACTGATCTTAGAGTTTACAACTTAACAGTCAGAAGCTCTACACCCTGTAGACCAGCTACAAAAGCAACAACATTGAACAAAAGCTGTTCAGCAACAGCTAAAACATTGCTGTGTTACCAATGCTATTTTGGCCATAAATCTAAAACACAGCACCATACTGGCTACTATACAGAAAATTAACTCCATCCCAGCCAAACCCAGTACAGGTCTTTAAGCAACATTAAATTCACCTTAAAATATAAAATTCCTCCAAACTTAATCTGAGGGTGATAGTTTTTGTATATGTTTATGAACGCATATAAACAGATATAGATTAAATTAATTTTTTACATACATACACAATCTAAATTCAACAGAAAAGTCTTGGGACAGTTCATATTTAAATAAATAAATAAATATGAGTCCTGCGCCACTTTTTTACAACCTTTACCAGTAATCATTCATTTGCATTATTCTATAATTGTAAATATTTGCTAAATTCACTTCAGTAAATGTCATTAGAACTCAAAGTACATCTAAAATTGATGCAATCAAAAGTCAGAACAGCTTTGTTTCATACTCTGCCAGACTAGATGTTTCGCAGGATTAAAGAGAATAAGCACTAGTCACAAATTGTTAGTCATGCTGCCAAGAGCAATGTTTTTATTTGGAACGATAACCTATGTTGCAAGAAGCACTGACCTTCTTAGTTACCTTCAAGATTGATTTTGGCACAAGTATATTGAAGCAAAACTGGTTCCTTGCCGTCTTGCAAGGTGAAAGTGAGGTCTAGTACCAATAAATTGTTCTAAAAGTGTATAGCACCTTAAGATGCTTAGAAGAAAGAAAACTTCTCATAAGTGAAGACTGTATTTTTATGAAGAAAATGGTGGAATTTAGTCTACAAGTATTCAATGCATTGCCTACTGTTCCAGCACTGGTTTTTCATTCCAAGTTCACGTTTATAGGCAGCGATTATATGTTTAACTTGAACTGAAACCCAAATGCCAAAGAAAGCACAGAATAATTTTCAGTGAAGCCTGAAAGCATCAATTTATTTCTCAACGTTTTTATCTACAGGTTTTTCACTGATGTACTAGATTCCCATCTTATTTCAAAAATCATCACTCTGCTCTACTGTTAAAAGTTGCAAAATTTACTTTTCTTAATTTTTTTAAAAATTAGAAATAACCAATTAAAAGTGTTCAATCATGTTGCTTCATCTCTTAGAAGTATTTATTAAAATGTTTCCTTTATCCCTATGTATTACACCTCACAGACAAAACACTGCGGACTTAAAAGATAACAAATGAGCAGCACAGAATATGGAAAAGTTAGCAGCTGCTGCTGGGAAGTTAGTAAAGAAGCCAGAATGTTTCAGAAACCTTCACACAGAAAATGCAAGTAATAAGGAGGGAACTGAAAAACACTAGCAGATCATGAATCTAACACAAAGGAATGGGAAACACCTACACTAACAAATGGGGCACTGACTCAATACTTACAAGAGCTGCACTAACAGCAAACTTCTGGCGAAACGCAATATAAAATGCTTTTATGTAAACTACTTCCCCAGTTCATATAGATATGAGTTTCTTAGGAAGTGTATAACTTCCTGAAAAACATTCACCTGTAAAGCACATTACTGTGCTGTAAGAGTAACAATTCTTATTAAAAACTGAAATTCTGCCATATGTCACCAACACAATCTCTGTGTTTGCTCCTATATTTACATGAATCTGATACATCAAACAGTACTTCATGAAGCGCCAAGGAAGTCTCGGGCTGTCCTCAGAATGTACTAAATAGCCCTGATGTGCTGCTAAACTTGGAGAGCTCTCTATTTAAATCCAGAAAGGGTATGTTGATATCTGCAGCTAAGTTCATAGCCCTGCTGCCCAGTCAAGACAAGATGAAGTTTCTAAAGAAGATATTAGGTTTTCCTTACAAGCTCACAGCTTAACTAACCCTCTCAAAATCACATAAACTTAGAAATGTATGTATATAGGAAAGGTGGGTCAACTTTGGCCTTTCTCTTGGAGCCTAGTATAAGGCTTAGTGATACCATTTCCTGCATTAGCCTCAAGAGGACTTTCTAACAGAGCCTTTAATTCAAGAGATCCTGCTTACCCAGGATCACTCCATTATTTAGTGGTCCTGCTGATATTTCCCTGATAAATGCATTTGCTTCAAAATTATTTTGCTTTTTAAATAAATCAGCAGCTTTTAGTTCACAACAAAATAAGAAATGATTTGCCATTCTGTACTTGCACACAAAATACTCACTCAAAATGTTATTGTGATAAGAATAAAATATGATGATTAATTTATAATATGAGCAAGGACATTGCATTGAATAACTGCTACTGTGTAACTCAGTTAATGTTCATACCAGTGGCATTCTGCACTGTATAGCTAAGTATCCGGTAATGCACATAATGAGAAAAATCAGCTGGTTTTAATTTGCCTAGATAGTTCTTACTTATAGGTTCTGTTATAGCCATTTGTCACTGTAGTATCAGAGCATCACAGCACAGATTTAACTGTGAAATGCCTTCCAGCAGTTTAAATTACAGCCTTCTAGCAGAGAACAAACTCGTTTATATTGCCAGTTTCCTTGCTAGGTAAAGGTCCAGTAAAATCCTCTGCTTCTAGCTTATCCAGTATGACAAAGCATCACAAATGTAATCATCTTAAAAAGTAACTGGCTTTGCTTTCAGGCTTGCACTGAAATATCTACTGAAGTAACAGAGAATCATGTGGACTTAGTGTTGACTTACAATTTTTAATGAGATGAACATTTTTTTCTATTCTGCTCGTCACACAGGATCCTCTGATACAGGATGTTAAATTATTGCAGTTTTCTAGACGATGCCACATAGACAGTCTCTCACATAAACAGGGACACTTTCAAAATTTATTACTTATTTTTCATGCAGATTCCAAGAGAAACTTCCTCTCATGTCTGCTATATTTTCTATGTCAGCATTTTGCTGCTGATAAAGAAGGTCTAAAGCTTTTTGTCCACGATAACAACATTTTAACACCGAACACTAAAGCTTTAAGGAGGAAAGCAGCTGTTTCACAGACAATTTTAATTGTTTTGTAAGTCTGCAATTTTTCCCTTTTAATAAGAAGTTGCTGAACCAAATTCAGGATCTAGTTATGAACCTAGATACTCAACTGTGAGCAGCTTTGTCGTTTCATTTACAGAAAATAAACTACAAGTTTAACAGCTTAAATTTACCTTACCATGAAACACTATAAAATACTTTTCTTCTCTGGTTATTGCATTTACAAAATATGTCAAAAAAAAGCATTAGTAAGAACCAGTTAATTACAGACAGTGAAGCTATACCACTAGAACTGTCAGTGAAGAAGCATTGCTCCCAGCGTCTCACAGACATGGTGAACACTCCAATGACTTCTCAAAGAGACTTTTTGCCTTTTTAAAGAATTGTTTAGTAATCTTTGCAAAATGCAGTATATTTTAAGGCAAAATAAAGCCAGATTATATCTGGACAGATAAGGTAAAAATGCCCAAACTGTTCACTTAGGAGAGGTGTGTCCCTGTTTTGGTGGGGACAGAGTTAATTTTGTCTCTGTTGAGAGACAGCCTGTTTAAAACTTTGCCTCCTACAACCACCAACTAGCTGGCAACCAGAGTGAGTGCATGCATGTGTCAGTTTGCAGCTAGCCACAGCCTGGCTGTTACTTGCCAGCCAAACACAAGACATGCAAGGAAGCTGAGGTGGGGGAAGGCAACACCAGAGAAGGAAAGACACTACAAATGCACTGTGCACAGATCAATTAATTTACATTTTAATACTGTGCCACATGTCCACACACTGAAAAGAAAAACTAAGATGAATGTAGATGCCATATCTGCTTATTTCATAAAGTGATCAGTGGGATCCTTAATGTTTTTTAACAGATATTAACATCCAAGTAAAAACAAACTATCTATAGCAGTATGCATGTAAAACAAAGATAAGCTTATAGAATTTATTTCAAACATAACTTGCAAACGGCTAATTTCTCATTGGGATACTTCCTTCTCTATTCACTCATTTCCAGTAACTCCACTGTCTTCTCTAAACCAGTTGATATCTGTCTATATATAGGCTCCCAGGCACCATCCCAGCATCTAGGAATGCTATGTAATCTGTATCTGTGTCTGTTTCATGAGATGCCCTTGTTGTTACACCCTTTCAAAACTGAAAATATTCTCATATTTTGTGCTGGGAATACAAAATAACAGCTAGTTACCTGGCAACCTGTATGGATTAAGAGAAAAGTAAAGTATCATATTTTTGCTTAGGCCAATCACACAACTCATTTGTATCCGCATTTATGACAGCAGCTGCTCAGAAGAGAGCATCGGATGTGCATCCCAATAGGTTTTTTCTTCACTTATTTTATAAGTCTGGAGACCACTCCACAACTGATTTTATGATGACTGTTCTGAACAGCCATAAATACTGAGGTTTTCATAATCCAAAGCTAAACTTCTCTAAATTGAGTGTGCTGTATCTTGAAAATTAAAAATAATAGATTCCATTTACCTTTTGTCATTACAAAATGTACACACATTAACAAGGTGCAAAATTTTTACTTCAGCTGCTAACTTCACAAAGAGCATCAAAAGTTCTCCTTAAAGCATTCTCTCTTGTTTTGCTGGAAGCAAACCATCTAGTCTGGATGGTTTGCTTTTCATGGTTTTCACCACAGGTCTCCTGCCATACACCAAACAGTAACTAAAACTGTTTAATAGCCTCCAGAAGAGGAAGAAAATGGCACTTACTTTAGCTTACTGATCCTGGCTTCTGCAGTTTCAGTAAGATTTTTTGTTTCTTCCTTCCACCGATTTGTTGCTTTTTGCTGAGCTACTAACAGATGTCTAAGTTCAGCAGTAGACTTTTGACTGGTGTCTTCCATTTCCTTAAGTCGCGCTTCAAATCCATGTTCTTTCACAGCATGCTCATGCTCCATTGTGCTTATCTAGAAAAAAATACAAACAGAATACAATCAAGTCTCTCACTTTTTACTTTTTTTTTACAACACTAGAGTTAAATTTATAAACATTTTTTGAAAACAATGTAACACAATAATTAAACTTGTAATTATAATGCTCAAATAGATACATGTTCCCAAAGCCAATTTAAGCAAACAGTACTACTGATAATAAAGGATAATGAGCTGTGTATGCTTATTTTTGTAAATAATCTTTATCCTTCTCCCTTGTGTTTTCTTCACAGAAACATGTTCTTTCCTAGATGTTCATGTTCACCTAGCTAAAATGTGTTAGCAGCATCTTAACTGCATCTAAAATCCTTTGCACAACAGAGGAAAACAAAAGCAAAAAATAAATCTTATCTCTAACTATACTGGAAGCCTGTCTGATTAAAAATGAGATGGACAAAGATCTAGTACATATCTTTTCCAAGACTCTGATCCTTTGTCTTTAAACTGTGTTTGACTACAGGGTTCTGGAGTTGCAACAAGATTTCCTGTTTAATTTGACAGCTTCCTTTATTTCGTGGTGCAAAGTGGTAACTGGATTTGAGATGGTCCCCATTCATAATTTGTAAAACTTCTTAATGAAGTCTTCTTCATTGCTGTAGATTCTTAGATCCCTTTTCAATGACTTTACCTTCTGGTCTTAACTCCAGGACTGTAAAGTACCATCTTTGTATGTTTAGAAAGCACATCAAGGATCAAAGTTGTTACTCCCTTCAGAAGCCAAAGGTACCAGGAATCCACTGAGGTTACTATTATCCCACCTGCATTCTGTTCATGTGCACATTCAAAAAGAACATCCCTTGTTCAGCTAATTATCTCAGTTGCAACTATTCCTATAGAAAAATGTTCTCTGTCCAGAAAATACAGAACCAATGTTTGACAACCACCCTATTAAATTATTTATTAGTTACGCACTGCTCTGACAACATGGTGGACTAATAAGTAGAGGAACACTCTGGACTGAAAGTCATACAGAGATTCCTCATACATTCTAGACAGTAGATAAATGAAGATCTGGAATTGGAATAAGTGAAATCACTCGAAGGAAGATATGTTATTATTTGATCTATTCATCTTCTAAAAAGCAAAGAACATTTGGAATTTTCTTATTGAGCAGAACTTAAGACACATTAAAATACAATTTAACTAGCAGAGATTGAGTCACGCAATAGATTCAATGCTACAACCAAATTACTTTTAAGCAGAAACCAGGAGGCATCTTCGAAACTTTCATCCTCACTTGTTGGAAATGCTGCCGTACTAAGCAAATACCAATCCTACATTAAAATAAAAGTAACATCTAAACCATACCTTTATTTTAGCTTTTGTTTGAGCCTCTATGGCCAGTTTTCTCAAGCCCTTCATTTCTTCTTGCAGTTGTTCATTCTCTTGCTGAAGTTTTAGCCTTTGTTCACTGACAAAGGCACTCTTCTCTCTTTCTGAATCCAGATTGCTTTGCAACTTACAGATAACTTCCTGGCAACGAGATTTCTCTTCCTCTGAGCTGAAAGAGAAGAAAAATCTTGTTGGAACTCAACAATTGAACTCCAATACTAGAGAAAAAAATATATATTGGGTCTGACCCAGTACAGCTGTTCCCCTTTTCTTCCTGAAAGTCTGTATCAGCTCAGCATGTTTAATGGGCTTGACAGCTAGAACTATGCACAAGTCAGCAAAGAAATTTATCAGGATAAGGGAGTTCATGAAAACAATCTAATATTATAGAAATCTCAGTAAAATGACAATTTGAAACAAGATTTTAATTTTTATAACATTTCCAGATTCTCAGGTGAGGATTGCTCTGGTGAAGTGATAGGATTTACAATCATCAGAGTATAGAAATGACTGAAGCTTCTAGAGAATCCTATACTTTTCATGCTGCAAACAACCTAGTCTAAAAATGTGTACCATATTGTACTTTTTACCACTATATTATTGGAACTGCAATAGTGCCCATTAGCTCTGAACACAACCTGAAATTCAGTATACAATATAAAGTATTCTGCATGTATTCGGAAATACCACACTGTAGATGAATTTATAAAGTAATAATCTCTGCCTGAATATTTCATAGAGTAACTTCTCCTACAAACAGTATTTTAAAATGCAGTAAGATTCCAAATAATATACTCCTGTTTTCATTTTTTTTTTTTTTGGTCAAACAACTGCTGGCAGTTCTCATCTTGTAAAGAAAACCTTTCATTCCTTTAATACTTTTATAGTGATTTATAATTGCCCTTGCTTGAGAATTATGGTAACTTGGTACTATTCCTGCTACTGGTTACAAAGATGTGACAAAAGTCTAACACATAATCAACGATTTAATTAGAAATAATTTGCATTATTTTCCATTCCAATTTCTGTAACATACTTTACTTACTTCATTTCCAGTTGTTTCAGTTTATTTTGTGTTGCCTGTAGACTTAGCTGAAGGTCATCTTTTGTAGCTTCTGCAAGTAAATATTTCTGATGCAGTTGTTCTAGTTTTCTACTGTCAGATTCACGTCCTCTGTCTTCCTTATAAATCTGAAGGATAAACTTTCATTTAAGATCGTCCTTACCTTGCACTGGTGATTAGTAGTAGTAGTGTTGACAAGGAGGCTACTCCTCATTGCATCCTATTCCCAGTGATTTAAAGCAAAACTGAATTTCTATAATTGTTGCTGCTACTTGGAAAAAACATTTTCAAAGATTTGTCATTCATGTAGTTGTCTGTCTATTAAGCTTAACTGGAATATATACCAACATTCTTTTGGATTATGTCAAACATCTCTCCTTTTACTTTTTACACTTTTCAGACAACCCTCCTTTTCAGTTTAGCATTACCGCTTTAAACTGCTTTCCAGATTTAAAAAAAAAAACAACAACACCTTGAAATGGCAACATGAAAATTTACAATTAAGAAAAAACACTCAAAAAATAAAAGAAAATTAAGAGAACAAAAAAGCTGTAAGAAATGGGAAAAATCAATATAACTTTTCCTTCTGAAAAGAGATCTTAAACATGATGTCAAAATGCATGCAATTGCCTTACCTTTTCAAGTTCTTCTTCCACTGCTCTCTTTTCTCTAATGGCTCGTTCAATTTGAACTTGTTTTTCTCCACATTCCTATTTTAAAAGTAATTTTAAAATAAACAAAAAAACCCTAAAATTTCAAGAAGTGCCAAAGAAAAAAAACAGCCATTGTAAATGTAATTCTTGCTGCTGGTATGTATGCATTGGATTATATTTACCTGCTCATTATTTTCTATATAGGATAGGATCAGTCCCATTCATTATACAGACATGTAAAATGAAACATTGTTTGAATAAATATAATCCAACTATATATCAACTATAGATATGCAATACTGAGCCTTCCATGATTTATTTATCCCTGAAATAAACAGGGATACTTAAGAAATGCCATCACATGGGAAATATTTTCTGGACCACAGAACTTCACTGTCAAGATGCTTGTGAACGATGATAAGAATACGTACAACACAAGGAACAAACTTACACAAAGAAATGGTTGGATTTGCAGAACTGTATTATTTCATGCAGAGCCAGGCAAGATTCTCAGTAAAGTAAGTTATGATTGTATACACAGAAGGCAAATCTGCACATTAAAAATGCATTTTCCAGGCAAATATCCTTTACACCTGGAGATGAATCGCTGCACTGACTGTTAAGACACTGCACACAGTCACTTTTGTCAACTAACATGAAAAACACTATGTTGCATTAATGTCTGGAGACATGCAGGACGTAAAGTGCTATACAGTAATAAAGCATAGTCCTAAACAATTACACATTATTCATATTTTACTTGACTTACTTTTACCTGAATTTGGTATTTTACTTGATAAACAAAAACTAGAAGTCTCAAATGTTTTGCTATAAAAAAATAATCAGTCAGCACCATACCATCTGAAGAGCTGCAAGTTCTTCTGCTAGTCGAGTAATCTGCACATTATATGGCTTCTTTGCAGACTCTACCTACGATCAAAAACAAAGTAAAACTAAAAAATTAATCCTGTGAATGATTTTTCCATCCTGTTTTTATATCTATATTGCCAATATGTGGTGCATGAATATACATGTGAGAACATACAGGACTGCAATAAGTGACAAATCTTACTACGTAAATGATAGAAGAATGTTTATTATCAATCCATACTACTCTAACTGAGGGTGTTTAGAAAGAAAAGCAGAAAGGAAGACATCACAACGAGGCCTTACAAAAAGAACAATGAAGCTGTAGGAAACCTGCTGTCCATTAGGTGCAAGATATCTGCAATTTGTGTAACACATATTTTTAGATTACATAACAAAAGTAGTATTTGTTGATATCTGGAGAATCATGAAAACTCGTTGTAAAATTTTACTTTTTATCCTTTTGATACATTTATTGAGATAATTTCAAAATAAGAAATAGGCCATTTCTAAATGTCTCAATTCTGATTAGTAATTCATTGTCACAGCTAGACTGAGCGGTTATCCTAGTTGCTTTTTAGCTCTTGCTCCTTTTCCAAACTGTGTAAGACATTAAATATTGCAGTTTTAAGTAATCCACACAATTTTTGTGATTCTTTCAGGTAACCACCAAATAGAAGGCACAATCCATCTTTATCTTCATTTTAAAGGCCCTGAAAATATAGGCAGTATGTTCCTGAAACCTCTCAAAATGAAAGGATTGGAGAGAAAAAGAATCCTTTCATCCCTATGCAGTACACATGCACATTGTGTCATAGTGAAGAAAGTGAAAGGAGGCAAAATCAATTACACCACTGAAAACTTACAAATGAGGTAAGTGATTCATACTGTTGTCCACTTGCAAAAGCAGCCATTGCCTGTAACAAGCCTTTATTTCCTTTGATATGTCTCTTTGATATGGAGATAATTATTGAGAACCTCCAGACAGATTAGTCTGCATTTTAACTGCAGATGGGACACAACATGGAGAAAACTAATTTTGTGAATAGTCTTATATCAGAAAAGCTTAAATTTTTCAGCTGCTCATAACAACAAAAATCATAAAGAGACTACTACAATATTTTTTTAGTCATTTCTCCACCAAACTGTGGTTTCTAAATGTGCTCTGATATTGAGTCTTTTTGATTGTTGGCTGTACTTGGTACAAGTCTTACTTGCCTAAATAGGAGAATATTTTAAAGTACTGAGATGACAAAAAAAAAAGGAGAGTGTAACTTTCAACAGGTCCTATCATCTGAACATACGTTATAAGCTTCCACCAGCAACTTCCAAGATGAGGCCATGTATCATAAATTAAATACCTTGATATCAATTCAACACTCTGTTGATGTGCTACTGAATAGAAACTCTGAAATCCAAGTGCCACTTTTTACATCTTCACAGTGCAGCCTTCTCCACACCAGTGTCTGCACAGACATCAACACTTTTGGTTCTTGAGAATTTTAAGAATCTCATTATAGTTCAGAAGAATATTGGCTAGATAACAAAGCTGAAGAGTACAGTACTGCCAGTATACTCCCTTGCTACCTATATTATCAAAACACTTGTAAGGTATGACTGTGATGACCATGAACCATCAATAACTTTTCATGCTGAAGAAAAATAAAAAAAATTCCCAACTGCTTATCATGCATAGCATCACTGTACTATGAACTATTGTTACGGAATAAAATCTGTCAATCTGTTTTGAAATTTATTGGCATTATTAAACCTTTTAACTCTAAAATTTCTCACAATGATAACAAGTTTGTGCAAAAAATAAAGCAATTAGAATTCTGCATATCACTCATATAAGCTTCCAGAAGGGGTTTTATAGTTAATCCATGAAGGATTTAAATTCTTTTTTGGATCATTTGACATTCACTATGCACTGCATTTACGTTATATAGATTCTGTGAACAGCTAAGGGAGGAGAAAAAAAACAAAAACCCAAACATTCATTACAGAAACTTGGGTACTCATGCTTGTTTTGGGACCAATTTACAGTAGTTTCTACTCAACTGCGAATAACTAATTCCTTAAAAACTGATACACCAAACCAAGAAGTGTTACTTAGCCTGATATATCTTACACAAGTAAGAGGAAACTTCAGTTTAGTTTTTCAACAGCAATGTCAACTGTTACTCCTATTTTTACATTCAGTATCTCCCCCTACTCAAGAATAAAGGCAAGGATGCTGAGGAGTCCTAATCTTGCCATTTCTCTCTCATTAGCCTCCCAGGCATTTGTGCAGATCATACAGCACACTATTGTCAGTGCTAACCACTCAAAGCACATTTGCAAACTCAAGCTCTATTGAGGAAATTCTAGTTCAGGCAGCAGAATTCTTCACACCAGCAGACACAGAATATCACAGGCTTTAAGACTTGTTAAAATTTACCTTAACATAAAATGAGGTCAGCTGCTATTGCTGTGACTATTCTAAGGATATATGAATATAAACTGAACTCCTGTATAGGCACAAGAGGCAAATACATGACCCACACACACACTACCAGCCTGTAAATTCAATCACATTATGAGCTCGCTCTGACACATTGTCAGGAAAAAAAAACCAACAAAAAAATCTGCTATAAATATGAAACATCTATTTCAGATTTAACCCAGAGTTAAATCATTCTTTCTAAACATCATAACTTACTGCCTTTCTTATTTTTGCAGCAGTATCTTCTGCAAGTTGAGACATTTCATCTTTCATTTTTTGTATTTCCTCTTCCTTTTGTTTCTCCCCAAACAGTGCCTAGAAAAAATAACAACTTGAAATACTACTGATATTTCAGTGGTGACATAATATCTAGCACCAAGAGAAGAAACCACACATAGTCACTGTTCAAAAAACCTTTTTTCCTTTTTACTTTGGAGTAGCTGACACCAAGACCCAACCAGAAAACAAGCACAGCGAGAATGTTTTGCACTAAATGCATGTTCTTGTAAATCAGAAGCACACAAAAAGTTCGTGTCAGTAGATGCCTTTTTCTATTGGGACTTTCAGATTTTGACTGGGCATGGAATTACACAGAAGAAAGCACAGGAGCTCAGATCAAAAGGCAAGGCTACTCTCCAATGTTCTCATCTGGGCCTGTGATCTGTAATAAAAAAACAATGCCAACAACAACACAGCAGAAGTTCCCTGTTAGGAACATGAATACCTGTATACACACATACATGCTCCTACATATAGCTAAGCATTTTTTATTGTTGCTATACTATACTACTCATCTCCCAGAAAACTATAAGTAAAGGAATAAAAATTGATAAGCAACTAAGGAATGTATATGCAGTCCTTTTCATGGTGGGTAACAATGAATCAAACAGTTTTTTAGCATAAAATAATGGTGGGAACTACAGAAAATGGTGCAGCAAGGAACCCTTCCTGAGGAGGACGGGAGAAAGCTACTGATGTTAAAGTATAATAGGAAACACTGGTCTGAAAAGATTACAGAAGGCAATATAGAGTTCTTGGTGGGAAAGATGAAAAATCCTAGGTGGCACATAGAGAATATGTAACTGCATAAAGGAAGAAACACATAAAAACATCCCTAATGGATTATATGAATTCAGCCTATAGAAAGTTACTTCAGGCGGTAACATGCCACTTTATTGGTCATCTTCTCTTTCACTGTCACCAGTCAATTCAGCTTTATATTTTATTTCTCAAACTGCTCTTTAAAACTTCTTCTGATGTCTTTTTGTAAGCTTAACTTTGTGTGCTTTGTAATGTTAACATAACAGAAGCAGCATCATGACTGCCTGTTACTCCCCTCACCACCAATCTCTTACAAAGCAGGGAGAAACTTCTATGGCCACAGTTTAAGACAGAGTTAACGGATACATGTATTATGCTGCATTTTTTTATCCTGTTCATTAATAAGCTTCCCAGTTTGAAAAATTCAGCATGTTTTAGCCACAGCAACAAATTACCAAGTGTCTGCAAATTCATTTATTCTTACTAGAGCAGTACACTAAACTGTTACTTATAAAAAGCCACTTGTTTGTCTGTAACTTTTAGTTACTTACTGCCTTAGAGATGCAATTTACATCACAATAACTTTTACTGGGCCACTTCTGTCAACTTCGTGTGAGTTCATAGCAAGCAGCATCAAATGATCTGCCGAACTTTTGGATGAAAAATGGTGTTCTAACACTGCTCTCATATACTAATACTGAGCAGACTGGAAATGTCATTTATATTCCTTACCAATAATTTTCAAATAAACTGGTTTTTAAATTCCAAATAAATTATTTTATTTTTAATTTACATTCTTCATGTTCTCCCCACAATCAGGCTGTAGTGGAATGCTGTTAAGGATCAAAATATCTTACTAAGAAAAGGGACTGACAAGTCCAAAGCTGGCCATCAAGAACTGGAGGATGTAAAGCTTCATTTTTCACCCCTTTCTGAACCAGAGCCTAACAGATAAAGGGAATGGAGATGCAGAAAGTTATGAGGAAATATGAAAAGAAGATGCCACCAAAGGGTCTCCTGACTGACTATAAAAATATGGGAAGAAAGATTGTAACATGATGATAATTCTCTTTTGTATAAGAAGAATAATCACAGAAGTTTAACTGCACTAGTGACCAGAATCCCTAAGCTCTGTCAATATTTAATCTATTCAGGAAGCAGGCCAGAAGCTAGCAGGATCTCTTTGAAGAAGGTAGTTCCCTTTTCTGTCAGAAAAAAGGAGGCACTGCCTCCTTTGTCAGAGCTGTAATCGGCAAGAGCAAAAAAGACAACACTAATATCCTGAAAGTTAAAAGTGAAAAGCTAATTTAGATATTCAGGAGGCTCCTCAAGTTTGAAAAGCAACTTCAGACTAAAAGGAGGATTTATCTCCTTAACTGCTCAACAGTTCAACATGCTAGCCCAAACAATCAATTCTAAGGTTCTCCATTTATTCCCACAGACATTAACTAAGCTGGGTTTCACTTACTGATATTTACAGTCATCAGATGCACATTAAAGTTCTGTCTTGCCAGCAAACAATCCATTAGATTTCTAAAAGCTTGACTTGAACTGAAGCTTACCATTAAAACACAGACGCGCCCATATTAGACAAAAGTTTACCAAGCCCTGTATCCTATCTCCTAAAGGGGCAAACAGCAGATACTTCAGGATAGTTCAGAACTGGGAAAGCAGGGTGACTTTTTTTTACTGTTAAGACTAAATTCAGCACACAGTATAGCATATTTGAGTTTCTTCTGACATTTTATCATATATTAACAAACACCATTGCAATTTTTTCCTGACTGCAGACCTCACCAACTGACTACTCAGTCACTTTTCCAGATTTCTTCTGAATAATTAAGATCTGAACACAGAACTTGCTCTCTTGGTGACCTATGTCCATCATATAACAAAAAAAGTCCCTTTAGTTTTAGCTCTTTCCTAACCATAAGTTATAAAATCATAACAGAACCTTCCTTTTTATTCTGACAGCCCAATTTGTTTGTAAGTATTCGATAAAAAGCCCTGTCAGGAATTTTTGAAAATTCAAGTGCAGGTACACTGTGTAATTCTAGTACAACAGACATAAAAGAAGCTTGGTTGCGTATGCATGCATGCCTGTAAGAATAGATAATCAGGCACTTCACAACCGCAAGTGATGAAAGTATTCTAATACCCAAGAAATACCTTCATCCATTCCCTTACCTGACTTTTTTGTAGGTTAGCTTCTTCTAAGAGCTGTATACAATCTTGGACTTTTGCAACAGCATCATACTTCTCCCTTTCTAGATTAGCATACTTTGTGTGAAGCTCTCCGATTTGTTTCTCCAGGGCTGTTCTTTCTGTTGTCAGCTGTTCAGCATCTTGGACAGTAACACGTAATCTACAAGACACCGATACTTTCACTCATTTAACAATAAGATGCTTACTTAAGACACTAATTCTTTCAAACGAAGCTAACAAAGTATTTATTAATAAGCTGCAAAAACTGCATTCCCGGTTTTCTGCTTGTTTTTGGACAAAGTCTTTGAGTTTAATATTCATGAAATCCTAGAAAAAAACAGAATTAAAGGAGTTAACTCAGATATCTAATCTCAGAAGACCCTTAAAAGAATGTTGTTCTTCTGGGCTACATCGCTGAAAACGTTCTATATTAAAACAGAATAGAAGAGCCCCAGAAGGAATAAAGTTTGCCTCTGTGGAGGAAGTGGAATAATTGGATGTGGGCAATGAAGTTGCAGCTATAACATTAGAACAAGAAATTTTACAAGTAATTTTACAACAGCTCAGAAATTCTTATTGTTTAATTATGATTCTCCGTATTGGCAGGCACAAGACAGGGCAAGAGAGTCTCAGAAGTATTCTCCAAAAATCTCAGCAAGTTCCAAAAGTGCTGCTGGTTCAATAAAGTGCACAGTTCTAAATATCCACAGAGAGCACTTGGGCAACACTTGGGCTGCCTTTTCAAGCAGCCATGGCTTTTTACTTTCTCACACATTTGTAATAAAACATACAAAGAAAGGCAACCACTCTATTTTTGTAGAACCAAAGCACATTTTTTGGTAGAAAAACTAGCTCGTTTCTTAAGACATTCTAAAATAAACTTAAGAGCCTCCACAATGCTTGGGCCAGTAAAATTCATCAAGTAGAGAGAGCCGCACAAGTCTGAGCGACTCCTGGAGGCAGTACTTGGCCACCTAGTCACAAGGTTGGTTCCCTGGTAATTATTTGGTTTCTAGACTTACTGAAGACTCTGCTAATCACACTCATAGGGCTGGGACCAAGAAGGGAAGATGAAGTCACACAGTTATCTCAATAAGCAATTTACAAATTCTTTTTAGCTATCAGGTCATTTGACTAACAGTAATAATTCAACAACTGCTCATGATACTTGAATCAAAATCACTGTGCTCAGATAAATGTAATATTCTTGGAAAGTGAAGGGGGTAAAACCCCCCATAGTTCTTTTGTATCTAAGATTCAATCAGATACAAAAGAACCTGATCAAGACTTAGATCTTCCAGTAGGTAGTGCTGGAATCAAAGTTCGACTCTTTATCAGGTATTCAAACTACTTTTGTAACTAGCATTTATTGTTAAGTGTGCTTTAACAGTTTTATTAAATAATCTCTTTTGTATAAAGATTGCTGAACTAAGACTTGAAACCAAATCTTATTTAAATGGAAAGAAAAGTCTGTGTTCACTTCAAAACCAGCTACTTTACATAAAAATTTTCAAATTTCAGGGTATCTTTCTTTAGAACTCCACCTAAAGCTATTCAGAGTTGAGTAACTCAATTTATGCACTAGAGTGAAAAATATATACCTCTTTTTTCTCCATTACAGTCAATAAAATCATGTGGTCTGTTTTATCATTTGGACTACACTGAAGTCAGAAGCTATTAAGACAGAACAATTAAGATAGAGAGCAGCCAAGCGTAAGATATCTGTATTTTGAGAAAACAGAACTGCTCAGAAACACAAAACCCAGAGGCTGAAAAAAAGGTAATATCTTATTGCACTTGCATGTATCCTGTTACTAACACCCAATGAGCACTCTTTACCTTGTTTCTAATTGTTTTATACTAGACTGCAATTGCTGCACGCGTTTCTCAGATGTTACTTCTCTTTGCTGGGCAGATATCATTTCTTCTTCCTAGAAATAATACATTTATTATTCAGATATCACCTTAGGTTCCCTGAACAAAATAAAGACATGCCAATATAAGTTAGAAAACAACTTGCAGTTAATTTAACGCCAGCATTCAGATAACTGACTAGCCATTCAATTGCAACAGAAAATCATTCCCTTCTATAGAATACCTTTGTTTCCAACTGGTCTTGAAGCTTCTCTGTCAATCTGGTCATTTCATCAACCTTAGCATTTGCTGTCTGCCCATCTCTTTTGGCTTGCCTGTATAAAGAAAACAGTTTATGAATTACCTTTCCGTTAGTACAGGGCAAAAAAATGACTCCACTACATATATTTTTTTTTAAATAGCTGTGAAGGGCAGTCAGGTTTCGTAATACTGTTCCTACAGGGCAGAAAAGGTTCCTCCCTTCTTCTCCTTCTTACTATGGGGCACGGTGAGAGAGGAATACCAAATTAATTACGCAATTGCCCTGTGAAAATGACTTCTGAAAGATAGCTTAACAGGAAGGTGTATATGTTGGTTAAATATTTGGGAGAACTAGCAATCAAAACCCTTAGGTGATTCAATAACTTAAATATAATTGGCCACAAATACTTAGAGAAAACTTTTTCAGAATTAGATTTCCCTTTTTAAAACAATTTGACGAGAAATTTAAAAAAATCATTAACCACTTGTGAAGAATTTAACTGATGTGCTTTGTAATCAGAAGAGGTCTGATGAGCTGAAACAGAAAAGGCAAAAAGCCCCACCATGGACTGGCTGGTGAATCAGCCTTCCTCTTCAGTAGAAAAGTTTATTGAAATGAGCAACCCTCCTACTCCTGAGTCGGGAACAGAAAGACATACAAAGTCCTTCACCAGGGGTGTAACCCAATTATTCAGGCTACATATTGGGCTAAATTTAAAGACCAATGATTGAATGTGTGTTAAAGTTAAGAAAGAGGAAACATATTAGACAAGCTAATGCTAACTGGAGCACTAACAGTCATAAAGGTAGGAAATATTTAATACTTTTAAGAATCAACTTCAAGCAAAAAATTCCTTATAGAAATATGATTTTTCATTTAATGGCACAAAAGGCATGAACATATTCTATATATAATATGTATATAACATGCATAATATATATACACAAAAATATTAAGCAAAATACACATAATCCCAGCAATTCTATAGAAAAGACTTAATTTCAGTTTAATTAATCAGAAAAGCTACTTTTGTTATCTTGACAAAGCAAAAACAAAGATAAAAACATTATTCCAAGAAATGTGGCCCTCATTGCAGGTCCATGCCTTTGATCTTATTCCACCTGAATCATGCACCTTTCTCCTACAAAAATATTGGTAAATTTGTGAGGACATTAATTTGCTTCCCTCAAAAAATTTAAAATGTGCTGTAAAAAAACCCAAAAAACCCCTCAAAACCCAACATAAGAAGGAAAAAATAAGAACAAACATAAATAGCCCATAAAACTCAAAACAGCTTAAGTATTAAAAATGCATTTTTATGACCAAATTCAGATTCTGATCAAATTCAAAGATGTGTGTTTAATCAGCAACAAATTGATTCTAAAGATGCAGCTTTTATTCTTCACTGTGTGATGTATCTTTAATATAATCCTGACCAGTTATGTCTGATGAAAAGCTTTAACATTCTGAAATGCAGATACCCGCCCCAGCAACACCAAGTTTATTAGTTTATATGTATTATCTACAGATCTTTAAAGCTATTTCATTAGCATATAGATTAAAACATTTTTAAGACTTCCAGGTAAACCAAACAGTAGACGTCACGGGAGCAAATCATTTGATCACTGACTCTTTGACATCCTCTCTCCAGAGATGGCTGCTAGTAGTTAATTCAAGAGAACAATAATACAGTGAACTAAATTATTAACTCTATACAACAGAGCTCCAAAACACTAAAGCACTAAAACATTTTAACAAAAATTCCAGCAAATAAACAAATGCAATCTGTTCAAACCTCAACTGTCTACAGATACAACAAATATTACATTGTCTCTATGCATGGCAGATTGACCTTTTAACAGCTAGTGTAACAGTACATAAATAGGATGTAAATAGTACAGTGTAACTGTACATTTTATCTTGAGTTTTTGTTAACAGTGATGAGAAGCAAAGACTCAGTTCTCAAACATTTCTTTAGGACTTTTTGCCCAAACGTCAATATTTTGGGTAAGGTCAGCTTCTGATCTAAAGAATAAAAGCTAATATCATCCTGAAAATAACTTCCATCAGAACTCTTAATTTTGTTGACATTTTGCCAGACTACTTGACAAAACTTAATCTAGCAGCCTTCCTTTAGGCATACCTACTGGAAATGTAGGATGACAATACCTCAGGACCATGTTTAAGATGTTTTATGGATACATGTGTCAGATTGTATACTTTGCTATATATTAAACTTAAAATATCTAAAATTTATCAACACACATTTATAAATTTTGCAATTACCAAAAGTTCCAAAATTACACTTAATCTAGGTAATACAGACCTAAATCCTCTTATATGAGTTTGATTTTTTTAATCCACTTATCCTCTGCAGACTCTATCACTATAAATCAATGTAAATCTATTTAAAAAACCAAGTATTTGAATTGTCTGTAATATGCCATATAATCCATGCAAGCTACATGTACGTAACTTCATGTCAGAGACATAACTGGTAAAAATATTCCAGACTTCTTTGCAAATCACTGCAGCACTTACTTTAGAGCTATATAGAGCTGCTGTCATTGGCTTTGTGAGTATAACATAACACTTCTTATAGGGTTGCAAGAACTTTTTTAGCTAATCTGAGAGGAACACAAGTGTAGTCAGTGTCCCTAATCAGAGGCACAAAATTCCCCTTGAAGAGCCTGTTTGCCCAAACCCAAGAATACTGTGGAGACAGTAACAATTATGAAGGTTGCTCATTATCATCCCCAGACAGATTAAACTATTAAAGAGACTTCTAAGATAGCTTGAAGGGAAGCATGAAAACACACAATTGTGGGTGACAGACCTCAGTCAAGCTGTGTTCAACCCTCCCAGGAGTCACTCCATGGGCATTGCCACCTTCTCCCATGTCTGAGAGCAGCTGCCCCACCAGACACCATCAGTAGTCAGCACACAGCTGGCAGACCAACAGCACAGGGTGAAATAAATGGGGACCAGTGTACTAGGTGTGTGTGTGGGAACTCAGGGGGTGCTGTCTCAGCAGGGCATAATTACACACTGCAGGAAGCAGCACAAGTACACATAAAGCTGGTGCACCCACGCCTGAAGGAGGAGGGATGTGCGGATAGGGGAAAATGTACTTCCCAAAAAGGGAGTAGCTGTGCACATGTGCACACAGTACTTAATGCATGCTTCTTGTGAGCCATGGTGTGTGTACCCATGTAAGAGCAAGCAAGAAAGAGTGAGATCAGTTACATACTTCACAGCTCAATTGCAGAAAGCTGCTTATCGAGTTGTGTGTTAGTTAATATACTGGAAATGCCTAGTATCATGGTTTACCTGTTATTAATATTGATCATTAACATGTAGGCACTGATTGTTTATTAATGGCATGCAATTCACTGCTTTGATAGACTTCATGTGTTGAACAGTCTTCCCCAGCTACAACATATTAAATCAGAAATCAAGTGTTCTGAAATGAGAATGAAGATGACTAGCCTGTTCCAGCTCTGTGGATACTTAGAAGTCTATACTTGCATGTATAAGGAATATATGTAAAGACAAAAATTTACTCACACTTTCATTATTTATAAAAGAGCAACTAATCAAAAATACGCATAAATATTCAGGCATGTGTGAGTGAAAGTTCAGAGCAAGGTGATTTACTAGGTTTCAGTCCTCAGGGACTTTGACCTTTAATATACTTTAATATACCTTTTAATATACTTTAATAAACCTTTTAATATACTGAAGTAGCAGTTAAAGCAGAAAAATGCACTTCCCTTCTACTATGCACACTCATTGCCATGTAGACAGTTATACAGATCCTTGTGTGTAAACATGGCTACAAATTAAAGACTTTGGCCATTTTGGTTATTATGCCGTACCCTAATTTATTTGGTCAAAGCAGTATCATTAAAGAATTTAATATAACTCCAAGAATCAAATCTAAAAAGGACTTTCCTTTAAAAAAAAATAAAATAAAGATAGGACCAAAGGAAATCATGACACCTCTGATTTTTACAAAAACACTAAACTGGCTGCTCAACCACAACCTGAATGATAAGTGTTTTTTAATCTAAAACATCAGGAGATTGTGAGTGTTAGAAATACAGTAATAAGCTGAATTTTTATAGCATTTATTGAAGGTCAAACATAGGTTCAGTTAATGCTAACTGCTTCCATACACACTTGTTACATGAATCAATATAAGCATGTCAATCCAAGACTAGGAATTTATAGATGGATGAGATATCCAAAACAGTAATTCAATCCTAATATTTCCTGCAAGGAAAGAAATTCCAAAAATGTGGGGATATGAAAACATGGTTCCTTCTCTTTCAAGAATTAAATAGTGGGATGCACAAGCAACTTGGAAATGATGAATTTGGAAATACTTGATTTTAGCAAATACCCTGAATACCACCTTAATCTTTGATTTATTGTCACAACATTTTCCTTGTCCAAAACACACTGTTTTTGAAAATACTTTTTCCACAGAAAAATCTCGGCTAATAAAAATGAGAGCTGCCAAGAAGCTCCCCTGAAAAACATTTTCATTAAGATAACTTTGCATTTCTAAGCAGGTTCTGGTCCTAAATTTATTGTACAAACAAAATGTAAAAATAAACATTGCTGAAGACAAAATTCATCTAGTAAGTAAACTGTAACTCACCAATCAGGGAGTGAAAGCTTAATACTAGAAGCAGCTATTTTTTATTGCTCTAACAGCAAGGAAGTTTGGGTACAACTAATCTTGAAAAAAGACCAAACTTTAAATTAGTTAATGAATATTCAACAATGACCAATATTCAACACTAATGAATCTGGTCACTCATTCTAAACCTGTATCTTTTAGTGTGGGTATTGCAACGCAGTAGCTTTAATATCTGCAAGTAGTACAACTGGACTCAAACAGATGCTGAAATTTGTGTAACACCCAATCTTTACAATGATAAGCACTTAGCATTACAACAGATGTCAATTGCTCCCTATGTAATATTTTGCATGGATGTGGAAAAGAAGAAAGGGAATGTCTGAGTCAGCCATTCTTTCTGAGAGGGATAAAATTAGTATCAGCGTGTATTCAGCCAACCTTGGTTTCTAAATACCAACATTACCTGCAAAAAGCTGCATACAAAATTGTGTGCATGAACAGATGTGCACACTCAAACACACAGCCATCTTTAACTATTTACATAAAATCTGTAGTAACTTCTGGAAAATATTTTTACCATTTTTCAGAGTGATATTCTTTAAATCTAACTAAAGCACAACAGCAGTCGAACCATATTGAATATTTTAATCACTGTATCAAAGGAAATGACTATCACTAAAATCAAAGGAAAAGTTAATAATTAAACCAAAATTTAAGGACATTATTTGTAAGTTTTAAGCTTATAAACTTAAGTTTATTTTTAAAAGCTTATTTAAATCTTTAGGTAATGCTATATAAAAAAACACTGGTTGATAATTAATCCATTTCCTTTTTATTGTCAGTCCACAAATCCGCTGTTAACTGAAATGAAAATTTAGTTTGACCTCAGTCATCACTAATTAAATGAGTTAACTGGTACAGTAAACTGGCATTGAACAGACTTTGTCTGTAAATACAAATAATCACAAAGTGTCGCAGGTATTTTTCTCAATTTCCTTGATATACTTGAGAAATATAATTAAAGCTTCTTACCTCTAAATTCCAAAGAGCCTGTGGTTTAGAGCTCTTTATTGAGAAACAGTGAATGGAAATTTTATTAAAAACATGAAAACTTGAAACTACTTTGAACATTCAGATTTCAGTACTGTAATGAGTAATTATATAACTGGATTTTGTGCAAATTGTATTCTAATGAAAACCTATCTCCAGAGTCAATTTTGCTGTGATACTGATACTTTGTTCCTTTTAAATCAAAGGTCAAATGTTGAATATTTCAGGAAACACTAACTGGAAACAGGCCACACTAACACTAACGATGTACACATCCGTAACAAACTTAAGAGACATTAACTGAAACCATTGTAACTATCACTGTCAAGTCAGTTTGCAATATAAGCAAGGCCCATGAGAACATCAGGCTAGAAAAAGCTATAAGAAAAGATTTAATAATTTTTAAAATTTCCTGGCTTATACCTCAGTTGTTTTCGTAGCTGCTCTAGTTCCACGCTGTATTCTGTTACAGCTTTCAGAAGCTGTTGCTTGGTCTGCAAGATAAGGAGATATTTGTAACATGTTGCCTGTTACATTGAAATGGTACATATTAAGCATTGTTATAGTGCATTTCTACAGAATATACCACCATAAAAATAGCCAATAAGGTCTACTTAACACAGTGGCTGGTCTCCAAGTGCCAAGCTTTAGGCAGAGTATTGTAGAATGGCAAATGCAGAGTAATGTCAACTAATCTTCTCCCTCTTTCCCCCTATTTTGGTAGCATTAACAATTTCCCAAGATGAGAACTGTAGTAGCTCAGACTTACCATCTGCATTCCCATCTAGTTTGTGTGTTGATAATGCCTTGTGACAATGAGTGCCACAGTAGACCACATATTGCTGGCAAGAATCCCTTTGGTTTAGATTGTCTGTTTTAATGACACTTATACTTAATGCTGTCCAGCCCCGAGACAAGAAACAATGAGCAATTTCTCCTCCTTCACTTCTTCCATGCCAGCCATAGTACTGGAGGTGTCATTCTCCTTCAGCTGTCTTCTCATGTGAAAAACATTTCATGTTTTTGTTACCCTACTAGCCTTTCTAAATCTTACCTTCCCCTTTTGAGATATTAAAGATGACTCCAACAGCAGGCAGCACTTAAAAGATGCTGCTGTACCGTGGACTTAAGAAAAATATCTTCCTTTTCCCCATCTGCTAATAAATGCTAACATTCTTCTTGCATTTTCAACTGTTGCTAAGAATTGTTTTCAGATGCTTCCTATTTCTAAAATACCTGTTCCAAGTAGTAACAGTTAAAGACCACCAGAATACCCAAAGTGAAAGTGCCCTCTTGCCCACATGCATTATTTCGCTTTAATACCAATGAAACATCAGATAAAATGCATTCAGATACTCATGAGATCTTTCTGCAGATTCCCTGCAGCTAGCTTCAGTTTTCGTTACCCTAAATACTTTAACATCAGCAGTGAACACTGTTGCCTTAGCAACTTCAACTTGAACACAGGTAGGAAACACAGCTGTTTTACCACAATAAAAATCCTGAATAGTTACTCTGACTCTTCACTTCCTATTTTTCTGTTTGCTAATTCAAGAAAGGGCATGCTTCTTTATCCCATTACATCTTTGCCTTTGGTAACAGACCTTGCTAAATGCTTTTTGAATAATGCAAACAAACATCATCTTACCATCATCTCTTTCATCAAGTTCACATATTTCATTCCTCCGCACATCATCTCTTTCCAATTTTATTTTAATCAGTGATTATATTTTTTTTGAGATACCTACCACTAATTTGCTTGTAATAGATCAGTCTGCATCTTCCAAATCCTCAGCACAACTGCTTTAAAAGCTCATCATTTTATTTGCTCAAGACTGTTTTCAGACAGCAACTCCTCAGTAACTCTAAAGTACCCATCTTTAGAGAACAGTTAATTTTGATACTATCACTGACTATTTAAGGTAGAAGTTCATCTTGGTGCATTATTTTGCTTTAATACTAATGAAATAGTTTGGAAACAGGACAACTGGTAAGGTACCATTTCCAGCACCACAGTTCAAGAATGATGACATAATTGGAAAGAATTTAAAGATGAGCAAGAAGAATCTTTAGACATCTTTAAAACATAGTCAAAGAACACATTTTAAAAATTTACTTGCTTTGAACAGAATAGAAAATCAGGGAAAGGGAAAAGATGGTAATGTAAAAGTTTTCAATAACAAAAGCACCATGACAAAGACTGTAGTAATCTTTCCTTCATATCTACAATATTTCACACCAAAGAAACAGGCTCATATTTTAACAAGACAAATGTGAGGAAAAAAGTGTTCCAGTGATAAAGACAGAAAATATTACACTGCCTAGAGCAGGTTAAGAGTCTTTCTGCACTGCCAATATGCAAGACAAACACTGATGAAAAATCATACAGGAATCCTGTCTAGCAGAGAAGAGGCTGCTCAGCCAGAAACTTCACCAAGTCTTTCACTTCAATTTTTATATGGTATCAAAATTGTTTGTCACTCCTGGAAGTCCTAGACTAAAGCTTAGAGACTAACTAGTCTCACAGTTTAAGGATATGGATAATACACTACTAGATGATTAGAGCTCAAAAAGCCCTGAAAAGATCAAAGACACTGAAGCCAGCAATGCCAAATTAGGAATTGATAAACACAGGGCAGAACTAGCCTCTGTAAGACGTCATCATTTAACTAACTTGTTCTTCTGTGAGGATGGTTTTGAATGTGTGATGGAAGTACACTCACCACATATTAAAATTCTGAGTGTTAGCTTAGCACTGACTTCTTGAACAAAGAGCTCATAATACCAAGAGCTAACCTCTCAATCCCCCTGACCTGGTGTGGGGATTTCAGGAAAAGACCCATTGCTACTTGATTTTTGAATGGTGACTAGACAAGTTTGCAAATCTGATTGGCACAAGCTCTTTTCTAAACAGATATATATGTATGACTTTTTGCTTTTCTTTCATACTTTGAGGCTACTAGAAAAAAAATAATTTACTAGGTCACTGTTCAGAAAGTTTTACTTACCAATTGCAGTTCCTCTTTGGTTATTTGCAGTTGCTGAGCCATCTGTTCAAGGTCAGTCTGTCGATCCTAAAAAGACAATTCAGAGCTTCTTGTAATCATCATTATAAAGACTGTATAATTAAAGAGTTTCATAGTCAACTTATAATGTTTTCAAAAAAATTTATACATGTTGTAGGAAATTCAATATGCCTTTCTAGATTTTAATTATAATACTTTCAGCTGTGGACATAGTAATCGGGCAAATTCGATCTACTGAAAAGTGTATCTGAATTTCACTCAGTTACGAATTTCCTCCTTCCAAGACTCATACACACTATCAAAATATGAGAGCATACAGGAGTAGTGCCTTTAAACAGCCATGCAGACTATGATGCTACTATAAGCATTTTTGCTAAGCATAGCAGCAGACATGTATCTCTTAAGAATTAAAAAATGCCTCTATGAACATGCTTAATTTACTCTTTGCCATATATAATGTCTTGTGGCCATACAAAAAACTGTTCAGTTAAACTCTTCAGTGTCTGAACTTGAACTCTGTCTCCCTAGGAAAACTAGCATAATGAAAAAAAATGATCTGCAACATGACAATGCTGCAGAGCACAGGAAGGACACTCAAATACCTGAACTGGAATATCTACTAATTGTGCTGTGTTTATTTAACAGTCTCAAGGCAAAGTATATGTGAGAAGCCTATCCCAACAACTCCCTTATTTATTATGTCTAACCCTTACAATGATATCCTCTCTCATCATTGCTTTCTGTCAGTTCTAATTCTAGTGGATCTTACCCGTTTACCTCTGATAGCTATTCTCTGCTCTGCCTTTAAAAGCAAAACCTAAAATAAAAAAGTTTAACTGAAAAGTCTTTTTCTGTGGGAGACCAGTAGCATTTAAGAGTAAAAGGCAGCTCAACCTCAGTCTTGTCCAGCATGGCATTAAAATCCACCAGGAATTAAGTTACCAATGCAAAGTGGAATCTGACAACCCTAACTCCTGCAACAGCTACCAATGACTCTGCATGCTCTGCTATGGGCCATGTTACCAGTAACTGACAATGCAACACAAGAAATGATCTAGTAGAAGGAACATGAGCAAAAAGTTGGAACTACACATAAGTAAAAAAGTCTTCATAACTATTATTTCAAAAAATTATGAAATTTGAGAGAGGACAATAGCTGTACAGATATTTTTCATTTCTTGGAAAAGAACATATTGCTGAGGTGGACTTAATACCACAAAAGAACAAAAATCAGTAAGAAAACCTGCTATATTAGTGAGCTGTAACTGTGCCCACAAGTCTAGTGTAGTTGAAAATGGAAAGCAACTCTGTAAAATCTCTTTATATACCTAGAAATATATACAGTGTTGTACACATATCCATGAAGCTTCTGTTAGTTCTTCACACACTGAGCATCTTTATATAGCCTGTCAGAGCAAAACAGCTTCTTTTCTGAACTAAGATTTCCTGAAAGACCTTCCCCAGAAACAGCAGAAGAGAAACAGGCTGCTCAACACAAGCTGGCATTAGAACAATACTGGTCAACTTGATTTTTCCTCTGTTTACACATGCTTCTTTACTGAATCACAAGAGGAAATAATTTTCCCACTATCCCACTGTGATCTTACAGACAAAATTGAGGATTCAAACACAGAAGAGAACATGAACAACTTCCACCTTAGAATTCAGAAATCTTTTAGCAGTTTCTTCAGACGTTGAACTCTACTGAAGATTTCCAGCCAATTCAAACATAGGATTTACATGCACATGCATATCTTGTGCACATATACATGTATATGCACTCAGTGCATTCCCCAAGTTCCTGTCCATGTATATGAAAAGTAACTTTTCCAATCCTAATGGTGCATTTATCTGAGAAACTAGTGATCACATCTGGACCCTCAACTTTAGATCACTACTATAGAAAATAATTAACAGTACTAGTAGAACCCCCCCACACACACACTTCATTTTGACTACACACAGACCCAGAACCTCTACAGTATAAAATGACATTCCAAAATTAACAAAAACATAAATGAAAATTACTTTCTGCTTTTGCCTTTCAGCCACATGAATCTGTGTTTCAGTCATGCGTTCCTGGTGCTGCTGCTGCTGGAGTTGATCAAGCTCCTGTAATGCAGTCTGCCAGAGCTCTATTGCTTGTTCTTTTTCCTAAGTTACACAACAATAGTTTATATAAAATACTTTATTACAGCACATTTGCCTTCACCTGTCACTCTAAACAGTATTAAATTCTACTTTGAAGAAAGGCCATCTTCTGTTATTTTCTCTCCACATACTACAGCTAAACAGACAAAATACCAAATTCAGATGCAGAAAAGGAGATGCTTACAAACTCAAATCCCACCTACAAGGGAATTTCAAGTTTTCCAGATTTTTTTACTGCTCAAACTTTTACAGGTGCTTACTGTAGGCCTACAGTATATTCAAATACCAAAATTCACCTGTCAGTTCAAGTTCATCTTAACCATATGCAACAGGATTGATACATCATTGTAATAAGCTCAAAAAACTTTGCTTATCTTTTCAGATTTAAATGTTACTTTCTATCTCCCACATTACAATATTTTGATCAAAATGACAAGCTACTACAAAAGCTTGAATTGAACCAAGTATTTCATTAATTTCCTGGTCAGGAATTCAATATAAAAGTAAGTCAACTACATAAAATTACAGACACAACTATTAAAAACTTCCTATATCAATCTAGGAAAGGAGTTCCTTCAGGTCTTTAAGTTGAAAGTATAAATACTTGTTTCTTTACTACGGAAAGGCAAGAGGGCCTCAAAATAGTCTCAAGCAACTGTTACAAATGAATTCTGAACCAGGAGAAAACAACTTCCCCTACTCTGCCAATAGAAATAAAACAGTCCAAATGTTTCATCTCACACACTTGCTTCATCAGTTCTAGTTGTTCTTGAAGGTTTCTAACTACTGCTTCATCTGCAGGAATATCAGTTCTGAGTGGCATGAAAGGAAGAGCTTCCAGCTGCTTCTCAACAGTCTTTTTCAACTCCATGTGCAGCCTGAAAGTCAAAGAACAGAGTTCAAAGTATTTCTTTAACAGGGACTTTTTTAACAACTGAAGTATACAGTACCTTCAATCTGTACATACTGTTTACTTCTAACTCATATTTCCATCTATTAAGCAAGTTATGTTCTATAAACACAATAGACAGTTTGAAACAGTTTAATATCTACTTTTAGAGATACAGTTAAGTCTCCTAAACCGGGTGCTGTAATCTATATTAAGCACTTAAAGACTCTAACATTAGTATGAAATCTTCAACTATTAAGTAGATTCAAAAGATTAACGTCCTAGAAAAAAAAGCTTTTTAAAGTTTAGAAATCAAGAAAAGCAGCAGTAGTAATTGGGCAGTGCAATTATTTACCTTTCATTTTCCTTGGTGACCTGTTCAAATTTTAGTCTCATCTCATTCATTTGTTCCTAACACAAAAACATGCAAGAGTAAGCACTCATTTCAGTGACACAAACTGGTAATTCACTCTTCGTCTTTTAATTCTGACTGATACGGTAAAAGATGGACAATTTAATTCAGCATAATACAGTAAATGAAGGAAACTTTATTTTGCAAGGAAAGTCACAGGACGCCCTTTAAATTTAACAGCTAAGTCCTGTGATATGGTCTAGATATTAGTACTATAAAATACTAAGAACATACAGTCCAAACTATTAGGAACATCCATACCTGATAAAGCTGCAGCTGTTCTCTCATTTCTTCTGAGTGTTTATCATACTCTCTTATACGAATTGACCAGCTAAAAAGTTGGAAAACATACTTAGAACAAATCTGTAAAGGCTCAAACATTGCTCTGATAATTAACCAGTTTTACAGAACTCAATACAGAGAACAGAGCAAAACAGTCACTAGAATGAGATTAACCAATTACTGCTTTTAAGTATGGTCATATAGATTTCCTATATAACAGAACTACAACATGGAACATTATAAATGAGCACCAATACAACATTAATATTTCATACATAGAATCCCAAATGACTCAAGACTTGACTTTGTTACTGCTTTCACATACAACAGTAAAGTGGCCTATAAGACAATGTAAAATAATGTAGTTCTACTTCTATGCTTTTCCTTCCTAATCTTTCTGTAATTGACAGTAATTGTCTGAAAACTCATTATTAGTGGAGAGTGAGAATGCCTTAAAAGCTAACAAGAGAGGATAGGTTATTTTTGTAGCAGAAAGAAAATGACAATGACTATTAAACAATTTACTAATAAGCATATAGAAAATTTGCTTTTACGCACTGTTAGTTGTAGATTGTCAAATAAGCATTTTTAAAAACATCCACCAGCTTCAGACAGCAGTTACCTGTGTTACTTAGATCAGTACAATCTTACCTGCACTTTTGTTTATTACCTTTAAATTTAATTAGAGAATTCCTTCATTCATTTTCCATTCCTTATTTTGCAGATTGTGCAAGAAGTCTTTTAATTTACTGAATAAAGAGAATAGTATCTAAAAAAACTACACGAACACTTTTGCAGACTTCCATTCACAAGTTCTCAGAGCTGTGAACATAAGACCAATATTACCTTAAAATTTAATTAGAGAATTCCTTCATTTTCCATTCCTTATTTTGCAGATTGTGCAAGAAAAGCCATTTAATTTACTGAATAAAGAGAATAGTATCTAAAAAAACTACACGAACACTTTTGCAGACTTCCATTCACAAGTTCTCAGAGCTGTGAACATAAGACCAAGTTCACCTGAATATTTACACTTCTTTTAAAAGACATGACAATTTCCTTTAAATGCTTTGCAGTATTCGCACTTATCATTTGGAATCAGTTACCTTTGGTCCCGTGTCCTGGATCCTGACATGCCATCACCACCACAGGCATCTGTCTGTAATGACATACTTTATATATTAGTACCTGTACATGACTGCATGTAGTTTTAAAGTTTTATGTGCAACCCAAAGCTGTTGTTCTGTCTATACTATAATCATATACAATATCTCACATGATCACTTTCAGGTTCACATTCAAAAATCCTTGAGTGCTAATTTTGATAAAATTAGAATTGTTTTTCTTTCCTGGAGATGCTCTGATACAAACCATAATTGCATCTGAAGGAGAACCATCTCAGTCTTAACAGAATAATCATAAGTTTGTGCAAGTGCTAAGTTCACTTCCATACATCTCAGCATCAGGAAAGTGCTTATGCTCTAGCTTCTGCACAGGCTTTCAGATAACCACATGGTTCCCAGCACAAGAAGTTATCTCCACATGAGACCAATCTCTTGAAAGAGAGAAGTCTAGAAAAGTGATCAAGTAGAGATCAAGTATTCTTTCCAGGATATGTTCTCTTGCATATGACAAACTTTTGAAAATGCATGAAAAAGACCACAATTTGCTGTTATGGCAGTTGTATTCTGCTGCTGCTTGGACAAACAACAAGCAATTCAAGTTATGCAATGGACTCAAAGCCAGGCCAGGCCATACTGAAGTGGGCTGTGCTCCACATATGCAAATACATTTGCCTGAAAACTTCATCAGAAAAATTCTTACTACTTCCATCCCTGAGTTCACATACCAGCTCAGCAGTAGCTCGGAAAACCTCATCTGCTTCATACTGTCCAAGTGCCACATTTAGCCTCTCATCTGAAAAATACAAAATTTGAGAATCACAGCTACAACATGGGCCGTCATATAGAGAAACCTGACTGACAATCAGAAATGTTTAACAGTGTAGTCCTTTGAAGGCACACAACATGCTTCATAGAATTCTTCCATTTAGCACAACTCTTAATGACAATAGGACCTGAAGAAGCCTACAAAGACTGGGTAATAATAATTAATTCCATTTCTTTCATATTCCTTGTGTTTTATTTTAGAAATTTAAAAAAAGTAAGTTTCTGCCTAGAAAACCCGCAACCACATCTTAATGATCTACAAGGTCTCAGTGCAACAAATTACACTGTGTGTCCAAATCAATTAGTTGGATGTTTGACAACCTGTTGTTGGGAACTCAGCCCTGCAGTTCTAATACACATTCAAACTTAGCTCAAAAGAACTTCACTGATAAATGGATCTGAGCACTCAAGTATATCCAGAACAAACCCAAACAAGAATGAAGAAATACAGTCTGTCAGTATCTGCTTTTTCTGAAAGAAGCAAAGCATAATGAATAATGAATTACATACTGCTGAGCTGCGAGCATCAGCTAAGGCATCACTCTTCCTTATTCATCTAACTTGGGCTGTTGGGATTTCAGAGATGACTTGTATTACAAATAAAAGAACCAGCAGAAGGTTGGAAGGGAGAAATAATATCTCTTTCTACATGTTCATGGAATGGTCTTTGATCTAACAAAAACTTAAGAATCTGAGTGACACCTTTGTACCTGGAACGGGGAAAAGGAAGTCAGGAAGGTAATGCAAACATCTTGATTTAAAACAACTTCTCACCTATTCTTAATACACATCCTAATAGTTCCTTTTGTGGTTGTAGTCTTCTAAAGGAGGCTAGTGAAAAATGAGATAGGGGATAGAAAGGGAGTAACAGCAAAACGATGTCAAAGAACAGGAAGGGGAACAGTAGCACCAGGCACAGCAGTCTGTAAACAGGAGAGGCCACAGGTGCAAAAGGGGCCAAATATTAAGCATCCTTTATAGATGCACTCACCTTCAACAATGAATCATCCTGATAAAAGTTCTATGTATCTAGTAGCTTATCACAAAAATACATAATGGAATTGATGAATTATTATTTGCAGAGTTGGCTGCTGATACTTCAAAATGCATTCAGGTAAAATTCAATGTATAGCTGATCAGTGCCAAGGAATAACATTTGATTCTGAGAACCTTCTTTACAGCTACATATTTAGCACAACAAATATTTACACCACAAAGCAAAACTAAATAGTACTTAGAGAATCTCTTTTTATGCATATTACATACATTCAGCATTTTAGAACTCCAATTTCACATTCATAAAAGAAGACAAACATCAATCCATATATCAGTCTTAGAACAAGCCTCAAATAACTTATGTCTCAGTTGGAATGCAAGCCAACTTCAATTGCCATTTGGCACCTTTCAAAATGTCTGAAGTTTTTTTCAAGAGAAAATTAAACATCTTGATTAAAAAACAACTCTTGCCCCTTTGCAGTGAATTTAGTATGAGCTCTATTTAGAGAGCAAAGATTTATAAAATAAGAAGCTACACTCAAACAAATCAAATATATATGAAAAAGCAAACCCAGTATCTGAAAAGACACAATCTGTCCACATCACAGTATAATAAATGCTCACGCAAACCTCAATAAAGATAGGCGCTTTTGAGCCAGGATGACTCTGTTGGGTCAAAAAAAAGCTTTTCTGTGAGTGAGATCTTTAGAATCAAGAACTGGTCTTCCACTTTCAGCCACCCAAAGGTGTCACACAAAACTTAGTTGAAATTTTGAGTTCCAAGTGATGTATAGCCATAGCACTTCGTGCACTGTGATCTCGTTCCCTACTTAAGCTATCATGTCTTCCCACAACACTAGTGACAGGGACAGTAACATTCTTGGGAAAACACATCAACCCTTTCCCTATAAACTGTGCAGAGGCAGTTTTTGCCAGTATCTTGCTGGTAAGCAATTAAATTGTACTCCAGTCATATTAAACATACATTGACATTATTGAAACTGTAACAAAGAGCACACATTTAGAAATACTGATTTTAGTCTGTAAAGTAAATTTTATGAGTAACTGTCAGGCCAGCTTTTTTGCCTTTCAGATGTAAGCCAAGCATAGGAAGTACAGTAGTTTCTTAACTAGAGAAAAGAGGCATTATCAGCAAAAAATACATGCGTTTGTGGCTATTACCCTTACTAGCAGCTTTTAATTACTAATCTTCAAAATACCTTTGATGCTATTACTCACTACAGCAAACACTAGAAAGGCTACAGCCTATAAACCTTCATTGCTACAGCTACAGGCAAAAGGGTTTCTCCTCTGTGTAGAAACTGACCCAACTCCCGAGAGCAGCGTTCCGGCCTCACCTCCTCTGCTCGCAGAGACCTCACCTGGCTCTCCCCCGCTGCCGACCTCCGTGGCCATGTTTCCTGTGGAAAGCCTCACAGCCGCTGAGAGTTCTCCTCACGAAATCCTGCAAGAACCCCGGGAAAAGCCCGTTATTTCAGCCACTCCTCATCGCCGCTGCCGGCGGGGCTTCGCCTCCCGGGCGCCTAAAAAAAGCGAGAGCCGCTCCAGAGAAAGAGAGACGGAGGCAGGAACTTCAGGCGCTGGGGACGCGGATCCCTGGGAAGTACAGCTATTCCAGCAGTAGCTACCTCCCTTCGCGTCGCACCCCAGTAACAACCGACAGCCGAGGCGAGGCTGCCTCAGGAGAGAGCCCCCACCTACCCGCGCCCAGGACGCCTCAGCTCTTGCCTCAGCAACCAGCTCAGCTCAGCCCAACCGCCCGGCGCGTCACGTGCCCCTAGAACAACTGAGACTGCTGGGAGAGTATGCCATTCGGCATTTCAACCCTCCGCCCCGCCCCCTGCTCGCCCA